TAAAGATACAAATTAACTACAGTCCACGGGAAACTGTATATAAAGTGTAAATATTTGTACATTGCAGTGGTGTCTATGTCGTAATGAAGGTGTACACGAAAAACTGACCGACGTGAAAGCGTATTGATCGATTTGATCGGCTGCGAGTGATTGCGATCGAGCTCAATCTTATCCCCACTCCTTGTTTTAAGCGCCAAACCATCGTATCGGCAAGCGTTCAGACATATCAACGACACACAGCGTAGCACGCTTTCTGAACGAGGCGAGGTACAGAGGCGCGCGCGCGCGCGCGCGGTCTCACTCCGTTTCTTCGACTCGCATTACATCCGGTTTTCTCTTAATTCGTTCGGTCACTTTAATCTCGTTCTTTCTTTCCTTCCTCCCTTTCTTCCTTCCTTCTTTCTTTCTTTCTTTCTTTCTTTTCTTTGTCTATTTCTGCCTTGTCCATTCCCCTCTTCTCTATCACACTTTCACAGAAGTGCTGACACCTGAAATTACTTACCGGAGACGATAATTTTATAAATTTTTTTTTTTTTTCTTTAAGTACATTTTCGATACTTTAAAATTATTTGAAAACGACTGTCACAAAAGTCACCAAGATCGTTTACCACTGTTCGCGATCGAAAATAAGCAACGGAATAATTACTTCCAATTACGATCGATGTTTGTGTCTTATCGTAGATTATCGGTTCATATTCGAAACATCATGCGTGTCTACACGACTATATATCGTACATACGGATAAGTTCGTTGGCAAGCAATATAATGAGAATGTAAACGTTCGTAGGAAATAAAATACTGTTGAAACAATTGAAAGTGACTGAAGAAAAAAAGTACGGAATCGGCTACATCAACTACTCTACCTATGCTCTCGGTGAAAAGGGACGAAAACACTCGTGAGTGATCGGTGTGTACATCCTTGGCTACCAATTAATTCTGACCGATATGGATGAATTCTATCTGTAAAAGATCCGAGTGTACAATCGGAATTACTGTTGTTGAGAATGATTTGTCGTGGTGTGAGCGGTGTGTTGTTTCTATGCAATGTGAACGGACGAACTGGTGGACAAACCAACGTGCAAAGAGAAATCGGTGAACGTAGAGTCAAAGGGGCAGGGGAGGGGATATGAAAGGAGGCAGAAAATGAGTGGAGAGCTTAAAGTTTTCACGTTATCGGCGCACGTCTAAGCAACTGATAAAAGTCCGTGTTCCTACGGATAGATAACGTGGAATGGTCCGTATAAAGAGTCACATAGATAGAAGCAGATAAAGCACGGTCCACGGAACAGGTGAATGTTACGAGACAGACCAACGCCCGACCTTCTTCGCCGCTTATTCGTAGTGTCGCGTATTCGCATCGATACATATTATTTCATTTCTCTGTAATACTACTGCCGCGTATTTTCGGTTTCTACTTGTTTCTTGTTTCTCTTCCTCATTTCAGAGGTTGAACACGGTCGAACACAGTTGTTGTCGTTATCACGGACACCCGCGACGGAGCCTTCGTGTCGTTCATCGTTCGTCGCTATGGATGTTCGTCGTTGTTCGTCAATGCTCCACGTCAATGCTCGAGCCTCGTCGATGCGTGATCCTCGTTTTCGTTGTTCACGTTGTCGACGTTAGTCAAATCGCGAGAGTGTGTTTTTTCTTTTCTTTTCTTTTCTTTTCTTTTCTTTTCTTTTTTCCTTCCACGTTTCGTTCTGCCGTTACTGTTACCAACAGTTGTTGGCCTCTTCTCTTTCCGATCGATCTTTATTTCCCTGCCGCTCGTTCCCTTTCGACCGTTCGCGATCGATTCGTTCCAGCCCCCTCCCCCCCACCCTCCCCGGCCCGATCCTCTTACCGATCTCTCTCCGTCTATTTTTCTTATTTTCTTGCTACCGGTTTCCCGCCCTCTCCTTATTTCTTCAGAGTCAGAACGGTGTCCGCCGATACCCTGCTGGTAAGGAGAACGAATATTTCATGGAGACGGATCGTTATTGGGGCGTGCACTACAGGTACTGTCCTCTTTTACGGATCGATTTGAAGGGAGGAAGGAAGGAAGAAGGGCATCTCTCGTTGCAATGTGCAGCTCGTGTGCTATGACTTACGATAAAGCGACCGAACGAACGAACGAACGAACGAAACCGGAAACGACAGATTTCTTAATCTGGTAATCGCTCGGGAAAAGTAACGATTCCCCTTTGCTGTTTCTGTTACAGCGGCGGCATGGCCGGGCAGCACTACTGCTTGCGCTGGAATAACTATCAATCGAACATGACATCCGTTTTCCATCAACTACTCCAGACAGAAGCTTTCGTCGACGTTACTTTAGCATGCAACGAAGCTTCCTTGAAGGCACACAAGGTAAACGAATAACTAATTATTCGCAAGCGATAGTGTACTAATTCGATACGGATTCATCTAGTAAATAATTCCTTTATCGATTTTCTCTCTCTCTTGTATCGATACACGTGCGTGCATATATATGTCGCGCGCGATGCGTGTTGCATCGTGTCGTTTCACTTCACGATGGCTCCAGGTCGATACAAGGATTTTCTTCTACCTACCTTATTGATCGTTCGATACAGCTCCTTCTGTTTGCGCAGGTGGTACTATCGGCGTGTAGTTCCTACTTTCAAAAGCTCCTACTTTCAAATCCCTGCAAACATCCGACAATCATTATGCCCCAAGATGTGTGCTTCAATGATCTCAAATTCATCATAGAATTTGTCTACAGAGGAGAGATCGACGTTTCGCAAGCAGAACTTCAGGTAAGAATCACCAATTACTCGTGTAATTTGTGCAATGATCAACTACGTATCTTACCTCTTTTCACTGTTTCTTTCTTTTTTCTTTTTTTTTTTTTTTTCTTTCCCTCCTTTTTTACATTTTTCTTCTTCTCTCCGTTCGTTCATTTATTAAAACAATGTTCTTGCGATCATACAGCAGTGCATGAACAGACGGTTAAACGACACAGAATCGATTCCTGTTTCGCGTACACGTACTTTGTAAACTGGTAAATAAAAATAGGAAAATAGAGATTCAGCGGCATGGACAAAGTATTGGTGATATAATACATACTTTGTACCGCGCGAATAACGCAACCGTCTCGTCTCTTCCTATCATCGTGTGTCATTCAGAGCTCTCGACTCGACAATATAAATGACAAGAGGTGTCCAAACCTTTCTCTCTTCCCTTGCTTCTTCCTACCTTCTTTCGCGTTACTAATAAACGAACACGATCGTTCCAAACCTTTTTATCGACAGTGACGAGGAGCTTTCCCAACCGTTGGAAATTAACCCATTACCATCGACACCAACCTGAAAGTTTTGCGTTGCAGATTTCTTACTTACCGATTGGGATTCGTTTTCTCTTCCCCCTTTTTTTCCTGCACTCATTTAGCACCGATTATCGATAACGTAGATTCTGTAAATTTTTTTTCTTAGATAGGGGATTATATTCTTCAACTAAAAATAATATGGACTCGGTATAATAAAATCTATAATGTGAATCATTGATTAATTACAATATAGACCCGACATATATTTTCATGTTTCACGTTGTCAGGTCTACCTGATCCCCTTACTACTTTCGAATTAGTGATTTCATGTGAAATCTATTATATCGATATTCTCTGATTTGTCATTGTACAAACAATCTTTTTATCTTTTAAAGTATCAATTGAATAAATATAACTTCCCTTCGCTCTTGTTTGAATGATAACTTTTTTAATCCTCCTGCGAGTCTTGAATTTTCAACAAAAAGGATTTATAATATATTCTGAAAAGATATTTAACACAAAACTTGGAAAAAATCATCCACACTAATAAGAATTTTTTTATATTCTGTTTCATAATTTGTTAATTTTAAATTGGGTCGAGAATGACCGGAGCACAAATTTGCGATGATTTTTTTTTTTTTTTTTTTAAATGAAACACTTTTTACTACCTCTGTTACTAATGAATTCCAATACTTAGATTTAAACACAGTCATAAATTATATTATATTATATTCATCTCGATTCCAATATTGCTTTTACTTTGTCGATAGTAATACATATATATATATATATATATATTTTT